GATGGCTGTAAAAAATAAATCTGATAAATATATATATAGCAAAAATCAAACCTTTCATTAAAGTTAAAGAATTGAAAGTGGGGAGAAAATCACATTATGAAATAAATGTTTTTCTCCAAAACACGTTGGGAACAATTATTTGCCCCCTTTTATTAAATACTTTTTGCAACCTCCTTTTTCCATGATACCAGCTCTGAGTCTTCTCCTTTAATGACTGATGAGTTTGGAGAACACCTGACGAGATCAGAGATCATTCCTCCATACAGAATCTCTCCAGATCCTTCAGATTCCCAGATCAATGTTGGCGCTTCTTCTCTTCAGTTCAGCCCACTCATCTTCTATAGGGTTCAGGTCTGGGGACTGGGACGGCCATTGCAGATGCTTGGTTTTGTGCTCAGTGACCCATTTTTGTTTTGATTTTGATGTTTATTTTTGGACCACTGTCCTGTTGGAAGATCCAAACATGGCCCGTTATAAGATTCCTAGCAGAGGTTGTCAGGTTTTGATTTTTTATCTCTTGGTATTGAATCGAATCCATGACGCCATGTATCTGAACAAGATGTCCAGGACCTCTGTCAGAAAATTAGGCCCACAGCATTAAAGATACAGAAGAGTATTTCATTTTACACATAGGGTACTATTTTATCCCTGTGTGCACCAAACCAATATTAAGAGTTTGCTGCCAAAAAAAGCTTCTTTTTTTGTTTTTGTTTCATTTGATCAACCTCTGTTAGAAATCTTATAATGGGCTGTGTCCACGCCCCACAGGTGTTCAATAGGGTTCAGGTCTGGAGACATACTTGGCCAGTCCATCACCTTCACCTTCAGCTTCCTCAGCAAGGCAGTTGTCATCTTGGTGATGTGTTTGGGGTCGTTATCATGCCGTTCGGCCCAGTTTCTGAACGGAGGGCATCATGTTCTGCTTCAGAATGTCACAGTACATGTTGGAATCCAAGTTTCCCTCAATGAACCTCAGCTCTCCAGTTCCAGCAGCACTCATGCAGCCCCAGACCATGATGGTACCACCACCATGCTCGACTGTGGACAAGACTCAATTGTCTTGGTACTCCTCACCAGGGCATCGCCACACATTCTGGACACCATCTGAGCCAAACAAGTTTATCTTAGTCTCATCAGACCACAGGACATGGTTCCAGTACTTCATGCTCTTGGACAGGTTGCTTACAGCAAACTGTTTGCGGGCTTTCTTGTGAGCCAGCTTCAGAAGAGGCTTCCTTCTGGGACGACGGTCATGCAAACCGTCTTGTTGCAGTGTGCGCCGTATGGTCTGAGCACTGACAAGCTGACCTTCCACTTCTGCAACCTCTAAAGCAATGCTGGCACGATTTCAGGGTGTTACCAATCTTCTTATAGCCGGCCATCTTTCTGGAGAGCAACAATTCTAATTCTCAAATCCTTAGAGAGTTCTTTGCCATGAGGTGCCATGTTGAACATCCAGTGGTCAGTATGAGAGTATTGTACTCAAAGCACTAATTTTAACTGCTCTAATACAAGATACAACAATTTGTATGTTTCTGTCAAGCAGACAAAAACATAAACATGATGAATAGGACATGTGGCTTTGCATGGTTAAACGACGTACAGCTATTATCACTTAGGGTGTACTCACTTTTGTTGCCAGCTATTTTGACAATAATTGCTGTATGTTGAGTTATTTTCAGAGGACAGTAAATATATACTCTATACACGCAGCACATTGACTACTCTAAAATATATCCAAGTTTCAATTCTATAGTATTGTCCCTTGATTAGATATACTCAAATGTTTGCTCAAATGTGAGGGGTGTACTCTTTTGTGAGACACTGTGTGTATATATATATATATATATATATATATATATATATATATATATATATATACTGCTGTGTATGAGTGTGTGTGTGTGTGTATACACACATAAACTCACACATACATGCATACATACAGTACACACACATATATGTATAAATATATATATATATACACTGTATACATACGATACATATATAAACAAAAACGTTTGTTAGATGCGATTAATCGATTTGACGGCTCTACTTTTTTTTGCATTACAGTGCAGCAATTAGTCATAAATAATGTCAGTGTATTATCTTTATATATTGCTTTCTTGTTAAATTATATATTGTCAATTATACCACGTCTCAGACAGATTTCTTCAGATTCACCCAATTATTCATCATTCATTCATGTTTGATGCATTGTTTGCTCAAAACACAACAAACACAGAGATAAAAGAAAAGCAGAAGATTTTCTGGAGAAAGTACAGTACGTTTGGGTCCACAGCCATTAATGTTTTAAAGATTGGGATGGGCAACAGTAACAGAAACGCTTCCCAGCATAATATCACTGTCTTATAATAGCATGCATGCAGCCTCTCTCTATTGACCCTGTATTCACAGTGGCACAGCTTTACTCTCCTAAGAATCTGTACTATTACATGCTTCCTTTTTTGTTCACCGCATATTTTTTTTCTTTGCACTGGCACAATTTATCACCTCTCATCCGGCACGGCTGGGACAGAAGCCAAAACCCAGGTTTCTTCCCATCTCTGTCCTTTCTTCTGCCCTTGATTAAGTCATCTTAAGGGTCGCGAGTATTGATTCCAGTTATGAGCATACATTATGATTACAATTATCACATTGCCGTTTATTTTGTAAGGATCTCCCTTTCTGGCTAGTTCTGGCTAGCGAGGAAAAGGAGTAGTTCACCCAAAAATGTACATTTTGTCATCTTTTACTCAACCTCACGTGTATCAAAACATATTTGTGTGAATTATTTTGTAAGTTACCTCACTAAAGTTCGATATCAAAAGCAACTGTGAGCATTGCAGAAGTATATATTCATTGCCTTGTTTGCGCTGAGATTGAGAACAGCAATCCCAAACTGCAAACGTGAGATGAATCAGCACACTAAATCCAATAAATCAAAGACAAAACCGGGCAGAACCAGCCATGACATCCAACTGTGGGACTTTGTTGTTTTGCCACAACATTGTGCTTTGGAATCTCTCGACACCTCATTATTGTAGAACGCAACGCATGATGCTCTGACCATGATGAATATTCTGGGTTTAGGAATCAATCTCGACACGTGGGACGCTGGCCACAACTTAATCTTCTTTCATGCATTACTTATGTAGCCATTGAGGTTTCGTATGCATTTCCATATTCCACTTCTGCTATTTGTGGCCATGCCCTTTTTGAGATTCCTTAATCTGCTTCCCGTCTGTTTTAGAATCACATCAGTCAGTAATCTGCGGGAATACGTCTCAATAATGGGATTCTGGGTCTCTGTGGCGTCTGTGATTCACTTCCCTCTTCTGTTGCTGGTCGTTTTTTGTGTTTGTGTCTCATACATCATGCATTGTCGGAATAAAACACATTCCTCATCCCTGACCTCTCCTGTATTCTGATACACCCCATGAATTGTGCTTATTATTTTTTTCTCTTTCTCATTTGTGCCCTTGTGTTATGCTTTGGTACGCTTTGCCTTAAGACAGTTAATTATTGCCTTATTTTCTGTTTTTATACAGTATACTTCTTATGATGTGGCCTGCCATTGTTTGCTGTTTAAAGTCAACATGAAACAACTAATTTTGCTTCCATATTGCGACATATTTCCAAATGAAACAATCAAAATTCAATGTAAATATCAACACTATAGGCTTTCAAAGCAATATTTATTTGGCACAAAACATTTAATTCTGTTAGTAATAAACACAGGGACTCACAGGGACTTTTATGTAGGGCCTTAATGAATCATTGACTCATTTGGTTTGTTCAGAAGAATCATGCAAATCAATCAGGTCACAAAAGTAACCTTTTTTTTATTTATTTTTATTTACATGAACCACCTGCGCTTAATCAAAACAAACTAATTTACTGAAATAAGTGTAAATTTCCGGTGTAAATAACTGTACTTAACCAGATATTTCACTACCAAAAATGCAGGGCCTGTAATGAATCTCATTTTAGTGAATCGATTCTTCCAGACGAGCCATGTGAATGAAGCAGTACGCTAAAGTAAACTGCATGATTTACATGAACCATTTAAACAAACCAATTAACTAAAACGAGTTTAAATTTCCAGTGCAAACAACTGCGGTTAACCAAATATTTTGCCACCAGAAATTCAGGACATCTACACACGGACTCAAATGAATCAGTGACTCATTTTAGTGAATCCGTTCTTTCAGACAGTCCATGTGAAGGAAGCAGTTTACAAAAGTACACTGCTTGATTTACATGAACCATCTGAAGAAACCAATTAACTAAAAATGAGTGTAAGTTTCCAGAGCAAACAACTGCTGATAACCAAATATTTTGCTACCACAAATTCAGGACTTCTACTCAGGGACTCACTGAATCAGTGACTCATTTTAGTGAATCGGTTCTTTCGGAGAGCCCATGTGAAAGGACTTCACAAAAGTACACTGCTTGATTTACACAAACCAATTAACTAAAATTAGTGTAAGTTTCCAGTGCAAACAGCTGCGGTTAACCAAACATTTGTGAACTGCTTCAATGGACCATCCCAAAAAACTGGATGTAGAAGTCCTGAATTTCCGGCAGCAAAAGTACACTGCTTGATTTACATATAACATCCAAATGAAGCGATTCTTTAAAATGAGTAACTTTCCAATGCATTGATCGGAAATAATTTGAAGTGAATGAATAGTTTCTGTTGTTGGTTGAAGGGTCGGGGGTTGAAAAACATTTCAGTGAAAGATTATGATGAGTCATTGCACTGATAAAGCATTTCGCAATAAGACCAGAAAATTGTATTAAGAAAGTAAAGGGTAACCGTTTTATTTTCATGTTGACTTTTCAGTACCCATCTGTGATGATAATTAGGTTTCATTTAGTCTGTGGTTCCAATATGAAAAGTCTTTGTGGTAATCCAGGTCATTTTCTTTATGGTAACTGGTTGAAGACAGTTAATGTAAGAAGACAACAGAGTAGTGTCCCCCATGTGTCCCCAGGCCCCCTCAGCAGGCGGCAGTGCCGGATCTGGAGGTGATCTCTCAGCAGGTGGAGGATGAAGGCCAGTGCATGGCTCCAGTGCAGCTGGTCAGCTTCGCCTACAGGGACCTTCCTCTCGCTGCCCTGGACCTCTCGCTGGCCGGATCCCAGCTACTTTCCAATCTGGACGAAGAGGACAACCAAGAAGGGTAAGAAACTGCTGGCACACATGTGATACTGCACAGAAACACATACTCGCACGTTTCCGCATCTGTGTAATTTGGAACTTCCCATTGACTTTAGTGCTATAAGACTAACCCAAATCCAAAAATTTGCTTTTTAGTAGTGAGTATAGTAGGGCTGTCAAATCAATTAATCTCGAGTTATCACATCTACCATAAAAGTTTGTGTTTGGCTCAGGCTACGTCTACATTAATCCGGATACATTTGAAAACGGCGTTTTCGTTTAAAAGCGCTCTCTGTCCACACTAGCGTTTTCAGGCTTTTTCCGACGTTTCAGTGTGGATGAGAAACTTTTGGAAAACACCTGAAACGCTAAATTCCCCTTACTGCACATGCGTAAAACCTTCTGCGCAATTCTTCTGATAGGATCATTTTATTTAGCAAAAGATCTCACCATTCACTGATGCTACAGCGCGAAAACAGCGTTTTCAAATTTATCCACTTTGGAGAGCATTTTCAAAAAGCTTCGTTTTAATTAATAAAAACGCAGTCTCGGCGTGGACGGAAGGCCAAAATGGAGAGAAAAATGTGTTTTAAAAAGAAAATGTAATAGTGTGGACAAGGCCTAAATCCCTAAATGGAGTCTTTTGGTCCTCCTTTAGTTTGCTGTCAAAGTATGTATTCACACACAAGAACGTGATGATATTGAATGTAGAGGCATAATATGACATTTTAGTCTGATATGAAACATTTCCAGTGCAACTGTTTCCTAGTTTGCGCTACTCTATCGTAACATTGTGACAGTGTCTCTTTGTTTGCGCTCTTGTCACCGTGCCACTTTCAGTTGTTATCGGATAAAGGATTCCGACGAAGCATACGCCAGACTGGGAGAGAAATATTCAGATATCCAAAAAATCAGGAAGAGCAGCATACTCTCACTTACATCAACGATACTGACTTTTAACTGGAATTCCAGGAATTCATTTGAAGCTTGGCAGGGGTGAGGTAAAAATAAGCCTCAACATGTCTTATAAACAAAAGTAGCCGAGATTTCAATCTTTATTGCATCTGACATAAAGTAGTACTCTAAAGGAATTTGTTTATAATATGTTGGCATGCTGAAATGATTTGTAATGCAGAACTGGATCGTTGAGGCTTGTTTACCTGTTGTGTTTCGGTTAAAAACAAACCTGGGAGCACCGAGAAAGATTTTTATTTTTATTTTTTGCTTGAAATGGTATATTTATTTATAAGATTTCTAATGGAAACTCAGACAACACCAAAATTACATCTTGAAAGATAAAATAAATCAAACAAATGACATGAAAGTGCTACTGTGCAATAACACTATTCTGAGACGGACCGAAATCCATAAATTGTTTGTTACAGAAGTTTTAGCTTTCAAAACCGTTACGCTTTTCTATAAATGGATTGGTTACTGCCATTCATAGCATTTTTCTAGCATGCCTTTGTGATCCATATCATCCTGTTGCATCATTTTAAGATTTTTGGATCAACATTTTTTTCTGCTTGTGTAATTCTGTTCTCACTGAGATATACTTTTGTCTGGACCACTTAGACAGGAAAAAGCCACCAGAACGCCATGTAAATTGACCAATCACAGGCCAATTTGTCTTTTTTTGGACATAGTGCAAACTAGACTAATGTCGTAATGTGTCACCTTACTTTTCAAACCTCTCCTACACTCTTAGAAGAAGAGGTTCCATGTAGAGGCTTAAAGGGTCAGGCGCTGCTTCTTAGTTTTAATTAATAGTTTTTTTTTATTTTAATTACATTTTAGGAGCTTGTAATCATGCTTTATCACAAGAAAGATTTGAAATAACGTGTTAAACATTAAGACATTTCTTCATATAGAACCCTTTTGCCATAAAACCCTACAGGTCTATATTAAACCCCATTGAACCTTTTTTTCTAAGAGTGTTTACAGTATGTCTGTGCCATAATTTTTTTTTTCAAATACCGGATGTTTACCGCAGGAGGTTGGATTCTCGACTACTTCACACCATATTTTTAAATGCCAGGTTTCAGTGGGTGTATTTGTGTTCCTCAGTGGTTAGTGTGCAAATGTGGCTTTAAAAATCATCTGGCAGCCGCACTGCATGCTGGGAGTGTAGAGCACCCAGACTTTTATGGTGCTGACTGGGTTTTTTTGGCAGGCGACGCTGCTGTCCCGTCTGGGTAGCGTGACTCACCGTGGACGGCCACTGTGCGATGCTCTGCTTCATGCAGGGAAAGTTGACAAACACCATAAGCTTAATTATGGCAGCCGTCACACTGTCCACAAGCCATGCCTGTGTGTGTGTGTGTGTGAGACAGATGGTCCGTACAATCTCTCAAGTGTGTGATTGTGTGAGTGTGTTTCTGAGATGTCAGCACAGACCATTCTGCCTCTCACAACTCACTTTGTCAGGTGACACACCTGTGATAACAGCCCAGCTAAATGTTGTGAAACTTTTTTCTACGTATTGAACTCTTTTTTTGAAAAAAGTTGCCAGCCGGCGCCGGCATTTTTAAAAATTTTCACAACATTTTTCATGGCCGCGGCCCGCCAGAATATTTTGTTGTATGAAAATCTGAACATGCAATATGTCAAAAGAAAGAACAGACCCTATGCTTTTAAACAACAAAACCCTGCTTTATTTTAGCTTCATGCATTCTGTTTTTTATCAACACTTGAATGTGGGTAAGTTTCATAAAAAAAAAAAAGCAACATTTTGAGCAAAAAAGATCGGATTCAGAACGAAGATCAAAACATAGATGGACTAGATCGAGTCCATCAACACCCCGAAACTTCACAGTCCTGTAGCTCGTCCTGGGTCGTTTAATTTAATGACATTTAATTCAGTAACATTAGGCAGTTTTGATTTATATGCTTGTTTTTAATGTTGATGATCGCGTTATTTTACATATGCATATGATATCGCTTGTTTCTGCTTCTTCTTCGTCTGTGTTTGGATCAGGAGATTCTGTACTCTTTCAGAAGATGTGTGATAGCGCCCCCTATCATATAACAGTGAAAGCACGGAAAGACGAAAACTCTGTCAGTGGTGGGAAAAGAGTTAATGACATTTTGGGGTTTTTAATGTTACACGTTTAACGTTATGTTTTCATAATGTAACAGAAATATTTTGTTGCATATAATATTAAAATGTATTTGCTATTATAAGCCTTTGACGAAGTACGATCACAGCGAACATTCAGATCTGTGTTGGAACTGCCACTGAGCCAGAGAGGGCTGTGGTCATGTATAGCTATAAAAGCACAAGTTTCTGTTACAAATATTCATATTATCACAGAAGTACTGGTGGGATAAAAGTTTATAGTACTTATTTAAACACTGATGACCATGTTGGCGATCAAAATAGAGCAAATCGTCTTTTGAAAGTATCAATTACAATTGCGCCAGTAGATGGTGACAAGTGACTGTTAAAAAATGTATTTGTCATTGAATCATTCAAGAGATTTATAAAAAAAAAAAACTGATTCATCCAGTAATGACACTATTTATTTATTTATGAGGGAGTCATATTTATCCAGAATCAGGCAGCTCTAATTCTGATTGTTTGTGATTGTATCCAATCGCATAGCAATTTCGCATTTTTATGTTTACACATGGTATTAATTTTTTGCAATCCAGATATGTAAACTACATTCTAAGTTTTGTTTACGTCATGTTTTATTTGAGGTGTGGTATCTAGAACAATTTTAAGCGATTAAAAACAATCACAAGTAAAACATTTTGTCGCCCCATCGCATTTTTAAGTGTTTTAGGTTATCTTAGGTGTGTGTGTGTGTGTTTTTTTTTTTTTTTTTTACTGTGTGCTGTGACAACCTAACAGCAATCGAAATACAATGTTGTGAAAATGTCGTAAAAAGTTTTGTGCTTTCTGGGATATTTCTGTCAGGTATCATGTCTGTTAGAACATGCTTTCTGTTAATATTATCCACATAACATTTATGACAGAAACTGATCGCAATTGCACAGATTCCCATAGAAAGCGCAAGGTCATGGCCATTCCGGGACACTGTTTTTGACAGTTTCACCCCACCGGCATATCAGCAGCTTTGTTTCCTTCTCCCGTAACTGTGAGTAGAGAAAGCAAGAGCACGTCACGTTTCTGAAGTGACTCACATCTGAAGCATGTACAGAATGATACAGAGGATATTTTCGCATGGTTTGATGTCAGTTTAAGCCTTATTGGAACTAAGCTAATAATAGAAACATGCCAAAATGACAGCTCATTCTATTCTTTATTTTTATTTTTCTATTCATTTAAACCTACTTTTAAAGTGTGTGTGTGTGTATATGCGAGCATGCATGGTCCTACAGATGTAATATTTTACAAGTATTGTATTTTAAAGTTAGAATTTTTATTCATGAGCTATTTAATGCAAATATATGCATCTCTTTATAGTTAATTCCCCAGCCTTTCGACTCCAATTGGTTTATTGAAAGTTATAAAATGCCTTCAATTTTATGGCTAGGCTTTAAAAGAGATCGCACACCACAAACTTGGCCGCACAACAAGTTTGCATTGACTTTCTCTTTCTCTCCAGGGCTGCATTGTGAAATATTATTGCAATTTAAAACAAATATTTTCGGTTTTAATATATTGAATTAAATGCAATTTATTCCTGTGATCAAATCTAAATTTTCAGCTCTAGTCTTCAGTCAAATGTTCCTTCGCATTTCTGCCACATACATATTATTTTTTTCACTCAATATACAGATATACAGATACAGATGAAGTAGCACAGTACGATTTGAATGCATTAGTGAGAGAGTGATTGTGTGTGTGAATGAATCCTACCTGTGCAGCGTCTCTACTAATAGTGAAGCTGTGGGTTTTAGTTCAAAAACAGAAAGCAATACTGTATATGCCAGCACTTTTCAGTTTATAAGCAATTTTATTGATAAATCACAGAACAACGCTGACAGTAAGTCTCTGTGCTCCTGAATGTTTCCAAATGCGTCCTTCGTTTCCCGTGAAATTATGGATACAAG